GATAGATTGTGCTGCGCCCGTATCACGTAGTATACGAATAGGGAAAGAACGAGACCCCTCTATGATTGAAATTTTTCGCTCATAGATGAATGAAGAGAAGAGATCCTGATGGGGCCTTTCCACATTGGTGGTTGCTATTGGTTTGAATTTGGGATCCAGGGAACTACTTTTAGAAGTTCGACACTTTGAGTGTTTACAAAACTGGATCGTATGGCCTGGTTTTTTACAGTAAGAACAATAAAACTTGGTTGCATCAGGGGGGGTAGGTGTGGGACCTTTCGACCTACCACTCACGTCCCCAAGGTTATCATCAGAGGAGGACCTAATGTACTGCACACATCATTGTCATTCCTAAAAACCCCATTTAATTCATATTACGCTATATAACATTCAAATCCACCGCTCTTGTAGAATCTCAGAAAACGGGAAACACTGTTAAAGGATAACTCACCTACTCAATGTCACTAGACCATGTGTTATATTGTACCCAGGTACAGTTATATTATATTAATTGTATGTATTCATAGCATTAAGGAGAACTCAGGGTATCCATAAGATGAATGTTAAAGTTCAGTTGAGCCGGACTAGTGTACTGTAGGACTAAGTGTGGATCAGGGTTTGGAGGTCATACTATTTACGTCTGTGAACGTGTAGCGAACATAACTTCCACAGATATCATATGAAAATACATGAGAACAATGATCTGGAAAAAGGATTAATGTATCAGAACTCTGTGAGGTGTTGGAAGTGACCCAGAAACTATACTTGAAAGGAAATATCTTGTATGCGTCGGTATGAACTTAATACACCTCGTAGCCTCACGTGACATATACCCACGACAGGTACAGTGATCAGAGAATCTTATGTCTGTGTTCAAATAGTGCAATGTGTGAGAGGAGGATCCCTCATTACAGTTTTAAGTGAAGTTGATACACCCCCGCCATGAACATTCAGCCTTTGTTTTAAGGCGCGTCATGTACCCGCCTCGGGTGTGCCGCGTTGATATTATAACCCAATGAATTTACCCAAGACCTTACCTTAGTGTGTAATTTAGGATTAAAATATGCGTTTATACGGCATGAGTGACAATATACCGAAAAGTGTTCAGGTGAGGACCGTAAGAAATAAAAGTAAAAATTAAAGATTGGAAACTGTAGGCCTATGCAGTGACAAGCGGCAGGGCACTGCCCTCAGTACCCTCGGTTCTACCGTCACCTCAGATCAGGTTCCTATCGGGCTATATCCCGCCCTATAATTAAGGCTTATATAGAAGTTATTACAGTTTAAAGCTTTGCCTGATATATAAGTGTAATAGTGTTAGGGAGTGTGATAACCGCCCGTCAGGCATTATTTCTCAGTACCCTCCGTTCTACCGTCACCTCAGGTTCCATGCGGTCGGAGTACCTTGCTGCCCGGCAGCCATTATCCCTATGAGCGTCCCAACAGGTGGTGACTACTCCCAGCTATGCCACTCCACTGTGAACCTGTGGATTTCCAGCACACCACTCCATGTGAGTAGTAACAAATAAGGAGACCGTGAGAAACTCTGCGGTCGTCACTTGGAGCGACCTATAATACCAGGCGTAGAAATAGTACTGGTATGTCTCTTGGTGAAGCCCTCGTCTTCACCCACCGAGGGCGGTGTGCGAACGAGGTACCGGTTGTGTATACCTAAAAGTTACAAGGAGTCCCATACCTGCAGGGGTGGAGTGTAACATGTGTGTTGAGATGGTGCTACTATGTATGATAACCGACGGTGCTATATTTCATACAGGTGGAGCAGTCTGATGTGTTAAGGGATAGTGTAAGAAGGAATGACCGAGGTAAGGTGATCACAGATTGTTATGCAATAAATATGTGGATGACACGCCATTAATGTAAGAGTCTGGTGCCCATCTGGGTAACCAACATTTTCGTTGTTCTTCCGAGGAAGACCAATTCATGTGTATGTTTTTTACCAGTATGCTTTATAAGGAATAAATTAATTAAGACATGTTATGGTTTCACCCTTCTTTCCCTTATCGATCTGGTCAATGGAAAACCTAACCCAATGCCTAGTCCACTCTGCACGCTACCTAACGAGCTACATGCTGTCCAGAGGGGGTCTGGTGGCAGCGACCCTTGGAAGTTAAGATTAGAGTTAAGTATTCCCCCTTAGAATTAGTGACCCCCAGTCTGGCAGTATACTAACATGCTGGAAAGTACCACGTTCCCTACTGCCCAGTGACTCCACCAGCAAGGCGTACGCATCAGCCACCTCAGCAGCACGCCCTAAATTAGCCTCTCCATGCTCCTCCACACGCTTCAAGATGTGAAATGGTATCTTGCTCTTCCACTCCTCCAGGACTACCAAGTTTAATAAATCCTGAAATGTGGAGGTCTCTGTAGCCTCTAACCACTTCTTGAAAAACCTAAGCTTTTCTTGAGCAAACTCAACAAAGGTGTGTGAAAATGTTTTGGTTAGTTTACGAAACTTCTGCCGATATCTATCTGGCGTGATAGCATAAGAGGTGAGGATATTTTTTTTTACGTTATCATAGTCATCAGTCTGGTCTAAACAGTTATAAACTCTACGAGCCTTACCACATAATTTAGGAACTAACACCGACACCCACTGGTCCTTGGGCCACTCATTCTTCCCGGCTATTTTCTCAAAAATCCTAAATGACCCGTCCATATCGGATTCATCAAACTCGGGAACAAGGGAAGAAGCATTAGCAGGGTTAAAAGCAGCTAGTCTCTCTTTTAATGCCACTTCTTTTGATTTAAACTCCGATGTTAAGGTGACTTCTATCTCTTTCACCTGTAGTTCTTTCAGTCTAACCTCCTGCTCCAACTTGGCCTGTTCCAACTTTTCCTCATGCTCCAACTTGGCCTGTTCCAACTGGAGTTCTTTCATTTTGATTTGGAACTCGAACCTAGCTCGTTCTATTTCTAAGGCGTCTACTCTTTGTGTTTTTCCTTGAGGGCTAGCCAGACCTGAGGCAACTTCTGAGTGAGGAGGGGTGGAAGATAGTGGTTGAAGTGTATTGGACATGGGCGTTAATTGGTCAACAGCGGATTCTTCTAAAACTTCTTGTTGAACCAACATTTCAATTACCTGATTTTTTAACACTTCCTTAGTCATTTGCTGTGAATATGGGATATTGTAATAGGTGGCTATTCTTTTCCATTCTTTCTTCAGGATATTAACACGTAATTTAGATACGGAAGGATTTTCAATAAAATCCTGGAGATCAAAACCTGAGGTGGTCATTGTTAAGAAAAACTAGATAAATTAACTAATGGCCAAAAGATAAGATAAGTGGATTACCCTAGAAAATATCACGGCAGTGGATAACCAGAAAGTCCCGGAAACTACCCAAGTTATACCTAGGGAAATTACACTTATGAATATTGTTCTTCTGATAAGATCCTTAGATAAGGATAAGAGACTTGGAAAGATACTTGAAACAGGAAGGGCGTATTACGGCATTAATATAAAGATCCGGATAAACAACCCTTGAGTTACTTTATTATTGACCCCGAATGAGATAATGAGAAGAACAATAATTGAGGCTTTATAATTATGGGGTCCTGGTAGAGCGGGGCGTCCCAAGATATCACTTCACTCTAAACTAGTGACTATGGAACAGCCTACTCTGGAGCGAGAGTACGGCATTAAACAGATCCGGATTCTTCCCTACACTCGATAAGACTTACTACACGACTGCCTATGTGTAATAACAGGTAAGCCTTATGACACTCAGAACCTAATATCCTACGTCTGTCACTCTTACTGTACGATAATACCAATATATGCACACACATATGAAGGGAACTTTAAACCACCGTAAAGCAATTGTGAACAGAAGTGACTGGGAGGAATAATTAACAAGGAGTAACAAGGGAGGAAGAAATATGACACTTAAGGTCGGGTCCTGTCACGGTCGCCATTTGTTACGAGTTGGGGATTAAGAAACTGGTTTAGAATATAGTTAAAAGTCTACCCAGATCCCAACAGGCAACAACAATAAAAAAACTAAACAAACAAAGACAATCTGACTATAAAAGGGTAGACAAAGGATGCGAGTTTTTGTTGTGTATAATAAAGTACAATAAATTCCTTAACAAAATATCCAGCTTTCTATAATTCACCCTTAACCATACTTAACTTAAACATACGCAACATTGGCTTAACAGTATATACATATTTATACAACATACAACAATCTGAAGCAAGTGGAGGTGGGAGGTAATATAGGGTTACAATACTCAAGTGCGGTGCTGAAGTGTCTGACGAGTAGGGCTGAGTATTGAAGAAGATGGTAGGTAGTCACTGTGCCGTAGGTTTCCAGGATAGGTAATCCAAGTGTGGTCACTTCCCAGAGTGAACTGAACTCTCCTCGATCCGGAGCTGATGAGGAAGAGTTGGAGGAGGTGACGCAACAACCAGGATATGGAGAAAGGAAACCCCGAGTGGTGACTAAGACTAGTCATACTCGGGTCGCGTCCCTAGATGGGGTTGCTCGGTAGTGCTGGGTAGTTAGATCATGACACAATAGATGGCGTGGTTCGTAATAGGTGCAATTAATATCTTTTAACAATTTTTGTTGGTGCCTTGTACAACTTTTGTTTCCATTGTAGTGTTGTAAGCCATGCTAAGAAGTACTCTAGTGCTTGCGTACAATTATTGATTCCGTCTGTAGTGTTGTAAGCCACGCTAAGAAGTTAATCTAGTGCTTGTGTACAATTATAATTATTGATTCCGTCTGTAATGTTGTAAGGAATAGAAGTGTTATCCCCTTCCAGTGCATCTCTTTATCCCCAATCACAGAATCTCCAGTCAAACTAATAAATTGTGTTTGTGATGGTTCGGTATTCTCCGAGGGGCGCATCCACTGCATTACCGTCCACTGTAACTCAAAAACCCCAATAAGTAGAATTCCTGCCTATTATATATATATATATATATATATATATATATATATATATATATATATATATATATATATATATATATATATATATATATATATATATATATATATATATATATATATATATATCGTTTTACTGAGGGTGTGGGTTTGAGGTCTTGCTGGGGAGATTTTTGACCATCAGACTCAATATAGTTTCACCAGGTATGATTGAGGTGTCAAGATCAAATTCATCAGCTACTGTGTCTAGGTCGAGCACCTTAAATGTTTGAAAATTCAAGCGATTGTAGATCTTCTCCGACAAGCTATTGGCGATCTGAACTACTGCTAAACGGCAGCCTTGCTCATCCCCAAGCTCCAGGGTTTTCTGAAACACGTAGTGATTGTAAATTATAACGGTTTTTGGTATCAGGCAGATCCAAAAACCTAAGTTGTCAGAAGTAATTAAGAAGTTTCTCTTTATTTACCTTTTTAAATTCAAACTAAACAGAAGGAAGTGCCTGCAAAAATAATATTACATACTATAAAGTGAATAGTTTCTTTACCAGCATACCCAAGTTGAATATAGTTTGGTTATTTTATGGTATGAAAGACGCCTTAAATGAAACAGACCAATTGTACTATAATCTGTTTGAACTAACGTCCATTGACTTATAGTAATGTGAAAATAAAGTTTCCCCTCCTAGTGAAAAGCATCATTTTCTTTTTAAGGCTTAATCGGACCATTATCTTTGTAGTTTTTGTTTGTGGTATCTTTGAAAATAAGTTCAACTGTACTGTATGTTGTTTATGTAAGTTGGACAAATGTGAGATAGAGGATATCGTAGAGTTGGAAAGAGAATTAAAGGAACTACATCAGGATACTCGAAACACACAGCAAGATATTAGAAGGAGATAATACTGTCACTGTGTTCAAATAAACCAATGTCAAGTGTCAAGGTGATGGTATTTAGTACCTCCTCTGAGGAATATTTAGCATTGTTTTAGGTTTAATAACTGTGATTTTCAATATACTTCTCCTATAAGTTAACATGCACAATTACCTTGATGATCATGGCCGCGATGCCGCGACCGCCATAGTCTTTGTGGACACACACAGCAAATAATTCGAGGATTGGTGAGATGCCCAGCTCCTGAATCTCTTTACCGTGGGGAGAAAATCGGGCCAACAACTGGTACATAATGCTCGGCTCATCCTGTAACCAAATATATATTTCAATTCCATGTTAATTAATAGAAATTCTTTGCTTTTTAGAAAATATATGTTATCGCCCGATGAACTTTTGTTGTAATTTCTACAACACCGGGAAAATTAATTTGTCTATGGTAAAATTTATCGATGATGTAACAAGATCTGACCAAGAAAGGTATAGGTTTCATAGTTTTTAGTCCTGCCATGCAGGAAAGAGGTTCGTACACAAAGAAATACATCATATTCATTAGCAGTATATATAGGTCAGAGTCATGTGGGTGATGTCACTGTTCATTGCCAAGCGGACAGTGGTTCATATACATTGGACGTCATATTCTAATTGAAGACTGATCAATGTGGGCTAGCAAATTTGGGATAAACAGCAAGAATGTCCTCAAGCACCCCCGATTCAATGTAGTAATTACAAAGTTCATGATGCAATAAACCAGGTGGCCTGAAGTCTTTGACAGTGTCACATTCAATAATATAGTGTTCAAGTGTATGCTTTAAAGGTTTATCACAAAGTTTACATGCTAAGTGTTCCGGTATGGGTACAGCGTTACTAACTTGCCAGATGTGTCTATCCTAGCCTAATTCTGGCCACGACTACATCACATTGTCTGGTTCTGTCCTTATGCTGGCCATACCGGTACCTCTTGTCACAAAATTTGCCATATTTACTAATGCTGCAACTGCCAGGTCTCTGCATTTCTCAGTTCTTCTAGATTAGAGTTCATGATTCTGACTTGAATGTTTTTAAGTACAGCATAGAACAGGCCAAGGTCACGGTCAACATTTTCTATCTTACATAAAATTATTTCATATTCCAATCTTTATAGGTGGATAATCGTAAAAAATCCATGTAAATTTTGAAAAGCCATTTTAATAATGCCCGGGATTAGTCTTGTCATTCCCCTCTGAATTCTTTCTAGGGATTCTATATCCATTCTGTAGTACAGTGACCAGAACTGAACTGCGTAATCCAAGTGAGGTTTCACAAGCACAAGATATAGTTTTAGGATAACCTCGCTAGTTTTGTAACTAACACCCCTTTGTATGAACCCAAGTACTTTGTTAGCCATGTTTCGAGCAAATACACATTGTTGACTTGGTTTAAGATTCCTACTTATCATTACTCCTAAAGCTTTCTCACAGTCAGATTTTTCTATAACAACGTTGTTCATCTGATATCTGCTTTCTCTGTTTACATCTCCTAGACTAAGTACTTTGCATTTGTCTTCATTAAATTTCATCTACCATTTTTCAGACCATGCAAAAAATAAGTTTAGATCTTCCTGTAGTCCTCGTCAGATTTAATTTCACGCCCTACTTTAGTGTCATCAGCAAAATTACTTATGTTGCTGTCTACGCCTATATCTATGTCGTTTATGTATATAATAAATAGTAAAGGTCCAAGTACTTAGTCTTGGGGTATTCCCACTAGTGATGTTACCCCAATCGGATTTAGTGGCGTTTATGTTTATTCGCTGTTTCCTGTCCTGTAACCACCCCCTAATCCATTTAAGAATGTCTTCTCCAATTCCACGAGCCTCCACTGTTTGTATTAGTCTTTCGTAGGTGACTCTGTTCGAAGGCTTTTCTAATGTCGAGGTATACCACATCATAATTGTGTCCATCATCCACTGATTCGAAAACAGTTGAAGAGAATATTATTAGATTAGTCAGACATGAACGCCCACTTGTGAAGCCACATTGGGAATCATTGATCAATTTGCGCTTCTCCAGGTGATTTCGAATAGAGTTTGAAATTATTGCTTCCAGCAATTTGCCTACAATTGATGTTAAACTGATTGATTGGTAGTTAGAGGATAGTGATCTATCTCTCGTCTTGAAAATTGGTATGACATTCGCTATCTTCCAGGATTTTGGTACTACACCCGTTTTTAATGACATGTTAAACAAATTTGCTAAGGTCTTACTAAACTATTCCTTACATTCCTTTAATACTCTGGCAAATATCTCATCAGGACCTAGTGACTTATTAGGCTTTAGCTTGTCTTTTGCTTACTATGTACTGCGCACATCATTGTCATTCCTAAAAACCCCCTTAATTCATATTACGCTACATAACATTCAAATCCACTGCGCTTGTAGAATCTCAGAGAACGGGAAACATTTATAAAGGATAACTTACCTACTCAATGTTACTGAATCATGTGTTGTATTGTACCCAGGTACGGTTATATAATATTAATTGTATGTATTCATAGCATTAAGGAGAGACGTGTGTTTCCCACTAGTTTTATACTCATGATCCCTCACAGTAAGTCCTGCCTTCGAACACAGTTGTCAATATGTGTTTATTCCACCTTCTACTGGCAAACTCAATCCTGAATTAGTTTATGTAAATCAACCTTAGTAATTTGCCAGACCTTTGTCAACTGAGGGTCATCTTTGAATGTGTAACAGTTGGTTTGTTTGTAATTTCTGTCATTTTGTGAGTAGCGATCGCTGGCAACTCAGGGGTACATAACCACGGGTGAGCAGGAGGTTCAAGTCTCCCGTAACGCCATCCAACTTCGTTGTCCTACAGATCCAGGGTGGGCTTAATTGAACACCCACCGGTCGCTCAGAGCCGGGGATATTCAGCAGTGATCAATATATGAGCGATGGCGCTGATTCGACATGATTATTTGGCTCCATTCTACCTCTTGGAGCTAGACCCAAGACTCGCCATGTGTCTGACTTTAACCGATCCCCACAGCGATCGTTAGTGTTACAGGCGCCAGTGTGATACCCTGGGACATGCCTTGGAGTTATATGTCCACAGTGTTGTTGTATGTGTTTGGGGGTAATTCTGGAATAAGTATCCCATGTTGGGTAGTGGACCCATGAATAAGCTGGTTTCAGTAATAACACAAGGAGTTGCCTTGGAGTTATATGCTAATAATATATTTTTCCCCACTTTGAGTCCATCTTAATACACATTTTCTTATAGTATATCAGGATTATTCATTTCCCGCAGTATAACACTTTTATTTCCGTCCAAGGGACCTTCTATCAGAATTGCCATACCCATGTGCCTAGATCCTCGTCATGCTACCAAAAAGAACTGAGGTTATGTAGTAACCAAAGAACTGAAGGTAAGTAGAAAGAACAATTGAAAGAACTAAGACATGTTATGGTTTCACCCTTCCTTCCCCTTCTCGATATGGTCAATGAAAAACCAAACCCAATGCCTAGTCCACTCTGCTCGCTACATAACGAGCTACTGCCCAGAGGGGGTCTGGTGGCAGCAACCCTTAGAAATTGAAAATAGAGTTAAGTTATCCCCTTAGACTTAGTGACCCCAGAATCTGGCAGTATAACTAACATCGTTAATACTCACTACTATCTCGCTTAATCTACTTTCTCCACTATCTCTGTGTATAGTCGGTGCCTCAGGTATCATGTTTAAATTTTCGATGGTGAAAACTGTTGAAAAATGTCTGTTCAGATTGTTGCTCATTTCTCCATCGTTTTCCGTTAACTCACCAGTAGCTGACTGTATTGGTCCAATATTGTTCTCATGTTTTAGTTTGATATGTTTGGAAGAATCCCTTGGGGTTTGACTTCGCCTCCCTTGCTACCTTCAGTTCATTTTTCCTCTTTGCTTTTCTTATCTCGGTCTTAACTCAGGTAAACTTCACCACTCTATATTCTCCTACCTATAACATTCCTTTGTCCAATAATATTCTTTAAATAATTATTTATCCATTTGGGGTAATTTTTATTTGATCTGAGTTTTCTGTATGGTATGTTCTGCCTTTGCGCATTAAGTAACTCATTATTTAAATTGCTGTGGAACTCGCCAACCTCAGATCTCGTGATCAGGTCATCCTCAACCGTCATATTTTTGAGGCTATCATTGTCAGGTCACCAGGTAAAGTGAAGTCGCCCTCTGTGGGTACATTTGTGTGAGGTCATGTAATTCATCCCCAAATGTAATACCCTTTCTCTCAGCTACCTTTTCAACCTATCAAAGTCTTCCCTTCTGAAATCTGGGACTTTAATGGAATATTCCATGCGACTAACATTAAGTTCTACTTTGAATCTCACTTCTTTGTGATTGCTGTTAGCTAGTTCGTTCCCTTCGTCGACATGACTTATGAGGTTTTCTCTGTTTGACTGAACTAAATTGAGTATATTATTACCCCGGGTGGGTTCGGCTATATGTTGACTTAGGAAACAGTCGTGAACTGTTTCAAGAAAAAACTCTAATTCTGAGTTACTCATAAGGTCGGTCCAATCTATTTGACTGAAGTTAAAGCCTGTATGCCCTGCGCATTTCATCCCAAATAAGTCGCTCATTAACTCTATTATTAAGATTAGGAGCAGGCTCGTACTTTTGGAGGGGGGGGCGAACAGGGGCGACCGCCCGGGGCCCCGTGCGTTTGGGGGCCCCGCAGGGCCCAGCACTACACCCAGTGACCTCGGACACATTACCTGTTGACTGGTTAATCTGACCTGATGGCTTACGCCACCATTGCAACCGTGACCTTACCATCCATAGAGACAGTCCCATGAGGGTTGGTGGAGGTGGGTTCCTCTGACCGCATAAACTGACTCCATAATCCATTGCACTCCACTCCACACAGCCAGTCCACCAGGGTCAGTAACCAGTGAGATCAGGTTGTGTCCTGTCCTGTGAGCTGTGACTCCTGCCTTGCGAGTTTGTGGACGTGAAATATGCAGTATATATATATATATATATATATATATATATATATATATATATATATATATATATATATTACATATATATATATGCATGTATATATATATACATATATATATATATATATATATATATATATATATAGATATTACATATATATATATGTTTATATATATACTGTATATATATATGTGTATATATATATGTGTATATATATATGTGTATATATATATATGTGTATATATATTTATATGTGTCTATATATATGTGTATATACAGTATATATATGTGTATATATATATGTGTATATATATATGTGTATATATATATATGTGTATATATATGTGTATATATA